AAGTGGGGGAAATGGGGGAAAAATGGGGATTTTGGGGGAAAATAGGGGAAGTGAAGATTTTGGGTAAAATGGGGGGGGGAAATGAGAAAAAAGGGAGGAAAATGGGGAAAAATTTGGGAAAACACCACAAAATTTAAAAAAATAAAAACCAACCCAAAACTGGGGGGAAACTCCCAAAACTAGGGAGAAACTCTAAAAATTAGGACAAAAAAAACAAATCTGGGGAGAAAGCCCTCCAAAATTCTGAAAAAAATCCCAAATTCTGGCTCACCTGTGCCCCCTGAATCCCAAACTCGGGAATTTTCAGGATCCTCCCATCCCGAGGTTTTTTCCTTCCTGGATTTTTTTATTCCGGAGTTTCCGGGGCGGTTTCTCCTCCTTGGGCAAACAAATCCCTGGAGTTGAGGAATTCCCGAGGAATTCCCATTGTTCCTTGGGATGGACTTTGCATCCCAACATTCCCAAGGCTATGAGGGGAAAATCTGGGATAATCCCCGCAAAAATCAGGAAAAAAATTGGATTTTCAGGAAATTTTAAGGGGAAAAAAGGAGGGGGGAAATTAGGAAATGAGGCTGCTCCGGGTAGTTTTTCCCAGGTTTTTTGGGATGTTTGGATCTGATTCCAGCTGGGAATTGTTGATCCCAGAATTTTGGAGTTGATGGGATGGGGCTCAGAAGGAAATCTGGGAGGAATTCCCAGATTTTGGGGGAGTTTTCAAGATGGGAATTCCTTTAAAATCCCGTTTAAATCCCAATTTAATCTCAATTTTCCCATTCTTGATATCCCTCCTTTCACCTTTGATCCCAAATTTCCTTGAATTGCTTTTGGAATGTACTGGGAGTGCCAAAATCCTGGAATTCCCAGATTTTTTTGGGAGGAAAAGGGGTTTTTAATCCCATCCCAATCCCACAAAAATCTCTCAAATTCCATAAAATTCCTTAAACTCCAAAAAATCCAACAAAATCCCATAAAATCCCAGAAAATTCCCATAAAAATCCCCTTTCCCTCTTTTCCCCCCGTCTTCAAATCACTGAAAATTCATTCCCAAATTTCCCCCCCATGTAACCACAAAAAACCCTTGGAGAAGCCCAAAAATCCTGGGGAAAAAAACCGGGGAAATCCCAAATTTCCCTCCCCCCCCCGCAGCTTTTCCCAACATTCCCAGCCCGACCTTGGAATTCCCGCGGGAATCCAAACAATTCCAAGAGGGAAAAAAAAAAAAAAAAAAAAAAAAAAAAAAAAAAAAAAAAAAAAAAAAAAAAAAAAAAAAAAAAAGGGATTAAAACCACCCCAAATTCCCAAAATTCCCGCCTGGAATTCTTTCCACAAAAATCCACCGGGAGCTGCAGGAATTCCTTTGTTCCCAAAATTCTGGGAAAGGGGGGAAAAAAAGGAATTTTCTGCTACTTTTTGCATTTTTCCAAGTTTTTTTGGGGTTTTTTTTTGAGCCTTTTCCAGCGGTTCTGCAAAAAATTCCGGGATGGGGGCGGGAATTTGGGAAGAATTTGGGGTTTTTCCCGGGATTTTGGGTTTTTTCCTTGGATTTTGGAGTTTTTTCTTTGGATTTGAGGGGCTTTTTCCTTGGATTTGTGATTTTTTTCCTGGATTTGGGGTTTTTTTCCTTGGATTTTGTTGGGGTTTTTTTCCTTGAATTTGGGGTTATTTCTTTGTATTTTGAGGTGTTTTCCTTGGATTTGGGGGATTTTTTAATGGGATTTTGGATTTTTTCCCCTGGGATTTTTTGGTTTTCTTCCTTGAAATTAAGTGGGGTTTTTTCCGGGATTTCGGGGATGTTTCCCTGCATTTGGGGTTTTTTCCCTTGGATTCAGTTTTTTCCCTGGATTTAAAGTTTTTTTCCCCTCAATTTGGGGTTTTCCCCTGAATTTGGGGAGGTTTTTTTCCCTGCATTTTGGGGTTTTCCCCCTGGATTTGGGGTTTTTCCTTGAGGAAATTTCCCTCTTTTCCGGGATTTTCCCTCCCCTTTGGGAATTCCCCTCCCCGTCCTCCCTCGGGACCTCCTTCCCTCCCAAAATCCCTTAAAAATCCATTAAAATTCCCATTTTTTCCTGGAAAAAAAACCCGGAAAGGGCCTCCCCTACTCCTTCGCAGGCCCGCACAGATTTGGGGCAAAACCCCTGGAATTTGGCTGGAATTCTCCTCCCAAAAAAACACCAAAAAAACCCGGGAAAACTCCATAAAAACCCAAAAATCTCACTTTTTTTCCCTTTTTTATCCCTCCCGGGGAATTCCCCCTCCCCCATTTTTAAGGCTCCGAGGGGAATTTTGGGATGAAATTCCGGGAATTCTCACCTGGGATCAGCACGCGGCGCTCCAGGGGGGAAATTCCCATTTCC